AAAAACGAAAAATTAATTGTGTTCAAAAACCTATCAAATGTGGTCTCTATTTATAGATAATAAAAAATTATGAATTTTGGTATTTTTATTTTATTTTTTTAATATAAATAACTAATGATATTTTAATTTATGTAATATGTCTCATTTTTCAATTAGAAAAAGAAAAAGAGGAATGTGAACTACACTCTCTTAATTTTCTAGTTTTGGTGAGTGAGGGGCGCGTGCAAAATGTGCCCTGGCACACCTAGAGTACTACTGTACAAATACGCCCTAAATTAAAATAATTGTAGGAGTAATAATAAATTAATAACGTCGGGACCAAATTCGCATTTCTACAAAAATTTGTAACTGGCGGATTCACGCTGTCTCCTCGCCGGCGTTAACCCACCCTCTCCTGTCTTCGCTTTCCTTTCTCTCCACCGCCGACGATCACCCATGCATACATCCACTCTCTATATTATAACTCAATTTCACCAGTCTTCCAATTAAATTTGTTACGGGGGACAACAATTGAATTAGAAAGCATATCGATCCTAAATAATAATGTATCAGTGGAGGAAATTCGACTTCTTCGAGGAGAAGAAAACCAAAATCCCAGAGGAGGTAGAGGGCGGGATCCGGTGCTGCGGCAGCGGCAGGGGAAGGATTGTGTTGGGTACCGACGACGGCGTCGTATCGCTGCTTGATCGTGGCCTGCAGCTTCAGTACTCCTTTCCAGCTCACTCCTCCTCCGTTCTCTTCCTCCAGCAGCTCAAGGTATTCAGAATTCCTCTTTTCTTGTGTATATGCCACCAATTCTTTTCATCGAGGATCTGCTGTCGCGAGCTTAGCAATTTTGGACTGTAGCTTAAATTTGGGGGAAGAATAATGAAGCTACTCTTTTTTCGTTAGCTAACTCTGGATTTGGATGTACACTTCTGCAGTGCCTTGCCAAACTTCTTATATTAATTTTACATGTGATTGATTGTCAAATTTGGATCATTTGATTTTGCTCTCTCTCTTTTTTCCCCTTATTATATCATGAACTAGCTATTAGTTTAGATTACATCTACACCAGTGAGGCCCATTTAGTTTACGTTTCTAGTTTAACGTTTGCCGTATTAAAAATTCGTTTATGTTCTGTTGAATCAGCAACGTAACTACTTAGTGACTGTTGGAGAGGATGAGCAAATGCCACCCCAGCAAGCAGCTGTATGCCTAAAGGTATTTGACCTTGATAAAAGGCAAGAAGAGGGGTCTAGTGCATCAAGTCCAGAGTGCATTCAAATTTTGCGGATATTTACCAACCAATTCCCTGAATCAAAGGTACAGATTAGCTGTAGTGTTCTAGTTAAAATTTTGCTTTCTCTCCGAGATATGCCATATTTTTTAATTCGACATGGGGTTATGCTTGTTTTATTTTCAGACTGCTTCTGAAAAATAACATGCCCTCACTGGTTGTTCTGTAGATCACGTCTTTTGTTGTTCTTGAGGAAGCTCCACCAATTATATTTATTGCCCTTGGGCTGGACAATGGCTGTATTTATTGCATCCAAGGCGACATTGCGCGCGAACGAATCAAGCGCTTGAAGCTGGAGGTCAACAGTGCCCAATCTGGCAAGTTAAATTCTGCTATTACGGGCCTCGGTTTCCGTGTGGATGGATCCGTGTTTCAACTCTTTGCGGTCACTCCAAGTTCAGTGAGCTTGTTTAATTTGCAGAGTCAAACACATTCTGCCCAAACGCTCGATCATATTGGTTCAGAGACATCTAGTGTAGCAATGAGTGACCGCTTGGTAGGCTACTTTTATCCTTTTGCGTATTCTTTCTCTCTATTTTTTTTAACTAATTATTTTAATTAGTCATGATTGGTTTTAACTATCAGGAACTGATTGTTGGTCGGCCTGAAGCTGTCTATTTCTATGAAGTCGATGGCCGAGGTCCTTGTTGGGCCTTTGAGGGTGAGAAAAAGCTCCTCGGTTGGTTTCGTGGCTACCTTTTGTGTGTAATTGCTGATCAAATCACTGGGAAGAACACATTCAACATTTACGATCTGAAAAACCGTCTAATAGCCTACAGCACGACCATTCCCGAAGTCTCTCACATGCTGTGCGAGTGGGGTAACATAGTGCTCATAATGTCTGACAAGTCTGCGCTTTTTGTTGTGGAGAAGGACATGGAGAGCAAGCTGGACTTGCTTTTCAAGAAAAACCTTTACACGGTAGCTATTAACCTCGTGAAGGGCCAGCAAGCCGATGCCGTGGCAACTGCCGAAGTCCTCAGAAAGTATGGTGACCATTTGTACAGTAAGCAGGAATATGACGAGGCGATGGCCCAGTATATACACACCATCGGGTATCTCGAATCTTCGTACGTCATCCAGAAGTTTCTGGATGCACAGAGGATCTACAATCTGACTAATTACTTGGAGAAGCTGCACGAGAAAGGTCTTGCCTCCAAAGACCACACTACTCTCTTGCTTGACTGCTACACCAAGCTGAAAGACGTCAAGAAGCTAGATTATTTCATTAAGAGTGAGGACGGATTAGGTGAGCACAAATTCGATGTTGAGACAGCCATTAGGGTTTGCCGGGCCGCTAACTACCATGACCATGCCATGTATGTGGCCAAGAAGGCTGGCAGGCATGAGTGGTACCTGAAGATTTTGCTTGAGGACTTGGGTATGTATGATGAAGCCCTGGAGTATATAAATAGCCTGGATCCGAGCCAAGCTGGGGTCACTATAGAGGAGTATGGAAAGATACTCGTTGGACAGAAGCCGAAGGCTACAATTCAGATACTAATGAGGCTTTGTACGGAAGAAGGGGAATCTTCCAGGAGAGGGTCCTCAGGTGGGACCTTCTTGTCCATGCTGCCATCACCCGTTGATTTTCTCAATATTTTTGTGCACCACCCGCTGTCTCTTATGGAGTTCCTTGAGATGTACACTGAGAAAGTGAAGGATTCTCCTGCTCAGGTTGAGATCCACAACACTCTGCTGGAGTTGTATTTGTCCCATGACTTGGATTTTCTGTCTTTTTCGCAAACTGGTAGCAATGAAAATGGTGAAGTTGGAAAAACGCAAGGATTTGGCGGAGGGATAATTCCAGGTGGTGCAGCTGACGAGAAAGATCGCCAGAAGAGACGTCAGAAGGGGCTGCTCTTGCTGAAAAGCGCGTGGCCACCTGAGCAGGAGCAGCCGCTTTATGACGTCGATCGGGCGATTATTCTGTGTGAGATGAATGATTTCAAAGAAGGGCTCCTGTATTTGTATGAGAAGTTAAAACTGTATAAGGAGGTGATTGCGTGCTATATGCAGGCACATGATCACGAAGGTCTAATTGCATGCTGCAAGAGATTAGGGGATTCGGGTAAGGGTGGGGACCCTTCTCTTTGGGCGGACTTACTGAAGTACTTTGGTGAGCTTGGAGAAGACTGCTCAAAAGAGGTTAGAGAAGTCCTGACCTATATTGAAAGGGATGACATCTTGCCTCCAATTATAGTTCTTCAGACTTTATCCAGAAATCCGTGCCTCACACTTTCTGTCATTAAAGATTACATTGCTCGGAAGCTGGAACAGGAATCAAAGCTGATCGAGGAGGATCGTGTTGCGATTGATAAGTATCAGGTAGTTTGCTAAAAAAAGTCGCCCAGGATAAGTGGCTCTGAAAAAGATCTCTTCTGTCTTCTTAATAAAGAACAGAATAAAAGAGGGTTGTGCCCTGGATGAATGAGTTTATGTAATTTGGCCCAACCAGTGTATATTATAACGCAATATCCATGTAATGAGATTGACCTGACATTTTGTACTTCCCCCTTTTGTTTGAAGGACGAAACATCTGCAATGCGAAAAGAAATACAGGATCTCAGGACAAATGCGAGGATATTCCAGCTTTGCAAGTGCACTGCTTGTACCTTCACTCTCGACCTTCCAGCTGTACATTTCATGTGTACCCACTCTTTCCATCAACGGTGCCTTGGTGATAACGAGAAAGAATGTCCAGAGTGTGCTCCTGAGTACAGAGCCGTTCTGGAGATGAAGAAAAACTTGGAGCACAACACAAAAAGCCAGGATCACTTCTTTCAGAAAGTCAAGAATTCAAAGGATGGATTCTCTGTAATTGCAGAGTATTTTGGTAAGGGAATCATCAGCAAAACTATCAAAAAAACGGTTGAAACTCCTAAAACGAACGACTACTCAAACGGCAACTTTTAGTTGGTTAGTTATTTTTTTTTTTTTTTTTTTTT